ATTTCTAATCATATATCAATCAAGAGCCCTGGTGGTGCAATGGTTAGAATGCAGTATTACAAGCAAAACTCTGCCTACCGCCTGGAGTTTGATCCTGACTCAGCCTTCCATCCTTCCGAAGATATTGTAAAATGATTGTTGAGGGCAATATGCTGACATTGTAAACTGCCCAGAAAATGTTATGAAGCACTATGGGGCTGTATATAAGTCTAAGTGCTATTGTTATATACATTGTATGCACTGAATAGCTATGCATGAAACATCATATTTCATGCCATAAAGATTCAGAAATAATGTTCTTGGTAAATCATTTATTTTAAAACACATGGACAGAATCAGTATGATATGTGTATTATAATCCTTAAGAAACTATTGAATTTTTTTATTTCATTTTTTTTTACCCAGAATTTTTCTCTTATATTATCAGTTTTATATGTGTATTTAATTGATTGATATGAAAAACTATTTTTTTCAGCAACTGTTTTTCTTCCTTTACTCATTCTGCTTATTTTCTTTATATGGAGCAGTATTCAAAAGTATACTAAACAGCATGTTCTAGTTGTTGCTTACCTATAGCTTCTGTCAAAGGAAAAATAACAGAAGCCTAGAAAGCTTTTGATTTAAGAAACGTATATGGTCATTTGGCTTATCGTTATTTATGGTGACTGGAAGAATTTCTTCCATCTTCACACAAAGGTGCCAGAACTTAATTGGAGATTTTTTTGCATGGAAAATATATTTATCTACCATTGTGCTATGGCTTTATATTTACTTTACTATGTGTAAATTTAGATTCAGAAATATTTTATGGAACTTTTAATTATTTTTAAGCCCTAGGAAAACATCCTTAGTTTTATCCTTGGATTTAATGCTTAATTTGGCCTCAAAATGTTCCTTTCCCAAACTTTTTTTAAAAAATGAAATCACAAAATGCCTTCATTCACTGCATCCATCCATCCATTCATTCATCCATCTCAGCTCATTATAACATCCATAAACAGCCTTCAAACATATACTTGCATTTTTGGGCTATCCTATTAGGGATTGATGGAATTTGGAAAGGTCCAGCATCATCTAGTCCAGAGGTGGGTAACTATGGGCCCTTTACATCCTGTGGACTTCAACTCCCAGAATTCCTGAGCTAGCAGGAATTCTGGAAGTTGAAGTCCACAGGACATAAAAGGGTCATAGTTGCCCATCCCTGATTTAATTCAATTCCTACTCAGTGCAAACAGTCCAGAATTCGAACAACTCCAAAAAATGGCTGTTTTATGTTCTATCCTGTTCTGTCCTGCCCTGCCCTGTTACAATGATTTCTATGCCACCTAATTCACTGGACCTAAAGAGACTCCTCAAGAAACTTAGCAAAGAGAGTTTTCTGCATTTATAATCATATGTAGAGCCTACCTATGGACTACATTGATAAAATAGCTATTCTGTTCTTACTTGCCTTTTCCCAAAAGGCTTTAATGAGAATTCTAAACAAGGTTACCGTGGGTCATTTCAGCCTTTGGATTTCCTCTCTTGTGTGATATTCAACTGCCATGTCAGAATAGAATAAACAGGGCAACATTTTGTCTTTCAATTTCAGAAATTGTATATAAAATATAGAAACTGCACTGCAGTGTAATATAAAAATCTCCTTAGAAGTTTTTAATGTAAACATTAAAAAAAATATGTATACTGTTTCAGTTTCAAGATAAAGTGCAATTGTTTTCGAGATGACACGACAAATACATTGCACTGTAACTTTTGGCGTATAGTTTATCCAACTTTCATATTGAAATCCAGATATGTGGACTTGATCGCCCAGAATAATCAGCAATTAACTTGCTGGCTAGTGAATTCTGGGAGTTGAATTCTACATATGCACTCTTCTGGATGGTACCCAGGTTGGGGAAGATTGGTCCAAAATTTCTCACACTTCTAATACTATTGGAAGCTTCTTTTTATCACTACAAACTATTTAATGATTGAAGTCAGTAATGCTCGTATGTTCTGGATCAGAGTTCAGGCAGAACCCTGATCTACATCTGATATTTTAATTGGAATTGACCTGGATTTAATCTAATATTTTTAGCAAAAAAAAAAGTACTATGACTAAATTAAGAAGGAGGAAACTTGAAGTCTACAAAGAAAATGAATAGTGTCTAGTACATATAGAAAGAAGAGAAAGTGGCTTCAGAAATGCTGGGTGTAACATGGATAGAAACAGACAAAAATCTCACAAATAAATATTCACAGAGCTACTCTTCATACCTTTATCTCTGGTGCTGCCTAACCTTTGCAGCATTTGAGGTTAATTAGTGATGAGATAGTTGGGTCTTTGAGAAAGCATGGAAGATTTCCTTTTTGTTGAAGGATAGCATAAATAGTTAAACCAAGTCAATGAGACAAGAATTTGACTATTTTTCATCCTAAAGCTATTTGACTGGAAGCATCTAATAAGGGAGTGGGATGGGGGAAGACCCATAAAAGTGATGAGTTGCCTTTTGCAGTGCTTCAGGGAATCATAATAGCTTGCATTTACATGGTTGTCTTTTATGCTTGCTATGAAAATGTGCCACAAGTTTCTTCCCTGAGCAGTTGCTGTTCATTTTAAACCCATTACAGCCTCATCATGTACACCAGATATTATTAACAATTGTTATGAGCTACTATCTGAGGCATTGTATGATTACAGTAGACTAAGGCCTGCTTTGAATGAAATTTAACAAATTAGCTGGGTGTTTTACTAAGCCAGCTTTCTTACATGCAAAAAGANGCGCTTGAGACGAAGCATTTCTAACAAGTCTTTATTCTCTGCTTCCAATCTACGAACAACCCGAGCAGAGGCACGCAGGCCTCTATTTATACCTTCTGATCCCCGGGCAAATCCAACCAATCATAAGGCGGTCTTTTCCCGCCTTGCGCATGCGCGCAAGGCCGGCGCCACTCAGTCTGGTCCCGGGCAGCTTTTGCAATTGCCCAGGACTCTTGCAACGTCCCGAGCCTGCTTTTGCAGGCTCGGGACACAACACCTTTCAACTTCAGTTTGTTTTTGTGATCTTCCCCAGTTCTTTGGTATCCTTTGATATTGCCGCATGCATTATCCACACTTTCTTTTTTTAGGCTACAGTTAAATCTGGTGTGTTGTGAACCAAAGCTATATCAGTTTGTATTCAGATCCAACATATTTTAACTTGGGCATGTCTGGCTGTTTTTTCAACTATATGTTCTCACCAATTTTTCATTACTGGCCCATTGGTCACACAGTCACCCAGATGTTTAGACTGTATTTGGCATTTTATCCACCTATTGAGTCCTTCCCAAGGACCTGGGGTAGGCAGATGGCTGTTTGACGATGTTAAATGTATAGAAAATATAAGTGTTACAAGTAAAACTAGCTTTTGCAATTGACTGATGGTTATTTTGTTTATGCCTATGTTGTTCAAATGGTGCTGCAGTTGTTTTGAGATTACACCCAAGGCGTCTATTTCTATTGGTACTATCTTTTGCTTTCTTTTGCTACATTATTATTATGGTTGATTGCACAGTCAGCCAGATGTTTGTATTATTATTACAGAAGAGTGTTTCTAAAATCAATGAAACCATTCCGATATTATTTTAGATACAAGAACAAATTCACCTCCAATCTCTTAGAATACATTGAAAATTCAGTTAAGTTTAACTCAATGCAGTGAAATGAATAAGTTGCAATATCTATATTTAATCCCCATTAAACCAGGCAAATTACTGAGTGAGCCTAACCATCTTTAGAACATTTTAGGCCATTAGGAAATGGATTAAAAATAACACTACCAAAAATTTAATTCAAGCCTTTATACAAATCTGTGGTTCATAGGCAACTGAAATATTGTAAATGGGTAACTATATCATATTTGAATGCGGGTATAACAGATGTAAATGAAAGTTCAGAAAAGTGTAACCAGAATGATCAGTGGATTCAGAAACCTGCCTTACAAATAAGAAGCTTTGGGACTATAATTTTAAAAAAAGTAACAGGAGGGCTAATTGATGTATATAAAATCAAGCTTGGAATGGAGAAAATGGATAGGGATTTATCCCCCTTCTTTCTAGAACATGGTTCATCTAAAGAAAATTACTGGAAGATTACAGGAAAGGATATTTAAAAGAGACAGCATAAAGTTAACAGATCATTCAATTAATTAATTATATTTATATGCTTTCCGGCTTCCAGCAACTCTCAGTATAATGATAGTGATGACTTTTATGATTGAATCAATTAATGTGACACAGATCTATAAAGAGTTATTAATCTTGAAACTATTAGGGGCAGTTTACCTCTGATTACTAGTTGTAGGGGAAGAATGGCTGGAGAATCTATATCTTGCTTGAAGGCATCCTTAGGGTTATCTGTTTATCTAATTTGAGAAACAAATATGGGCCTTGATCTATCTCACAAGTCTGTTCTTATGTACTTTGTTATAACTTAGTGGTAACAAAAATTATTTGTAGGTAGGAGTGTCTATAGAGGGAAGTGTCAATAGCATCAAGAAATCAGGTGGAAGTGAGCAATTGAAGCCCCACTCCTTTTTAATGTGTGTCATGTAGAAGTAAAAAGTATCATACAATATAATTTTGATACTGTTGAAATACCTGAATATCCTTCTGTTTGTCTGCATAAGAAATACATATAAGGGCAGCTGTTCATCAAGATAAACCATCACTGGTTCTATTTAATTTCCTTTATGATCGGCCCTACCACTCTAGACATACATTGCCCAATGTCCAATGACCTTTTCTGAACAAGATTTTAGAAGGGACCATGCAATCTTTTCTCATGTCTTTTCTGTTACAGTCCCTACCCTATGGAGTCCCTCCTCCCTATCCTATTTGACTTCTTAACAAATACAAAAGGAGCTTCACAAGAATTAACAGATTATAGGTTGTCAGAAAATCTTCATCTAATAATAAGGTAAAGTTTCACTCCTGTTCTTATTGTCTAGTGGTATTCATAACAGGTTTTTTTTTCACAGTGCTTACACAGAGCCTTACAAGGTGTGCCCCATCTCCGTAATTCCTATTGAAGATGTCACATCTGACGAGGAACAGAAAAGTTCAGAAGATGAAGACAGCAATCAAGGAGATTCCAATATCATCCAGAAGGTAAAATACATTTTTCTTTTGGAACACATTTTGTGACAATAAAGTACTAGGAAATTGTTAGGATATTTACTAGATTTTTCTTGTGGGGTAACTCAACCTATTATCTAGTGTGCCATGTTTCTCAGTTGCTGCTGGGTACAGGAGTGATTTTAGTACAAGAATGCAATCAGAAACATGACAATTTAGAACAGTGGTTCTCAACCTTTTTAATGCCGTGACCCCAACCGGTTGTAAGTCGAGGACTAAACCAGTTGTACGTCAAGGACTAAACCGGTCGTACATCGAGGACTAAACCGGTCGTAAGTCGAGGACTACCCAACCGGTCGTAGGTCGAGGACTTTCCCTGCCCGGGAGCGCCGCGCATGCATGGTTCCGCCCCCTGCGCCGGCCGAGGCGTAGCTGGCAAGCGGCAGAGACGGAGCAGGCCGACCACCAGCTGGCCCAGCCCAAAGGAGGTAAGGCACCCGCCGGAAAAGGGGAAAAAATGGCGGACAAAAAAATGGCGGACAAAAAAAATGGCGAACAGCCTTGCTTGGCGACCCCCGTGAAATGGTTGATCGACCCCAAATGGGGTCCCGACCCACAGGTTGAGAACCACTGTTTTAGAACATAGAATCATAGTGCTGGAAGGGGCCTTCTAGTCCAACCCAAGGCAGGAGACCTTCCATACAAGGCATGGAGATCTCAATTCAGTCAAAGTAATTCAATCTGTGAAAGTGCTGATAGAAACTGGCAAAATGAGTTGCTATTGTCCCTATAAAATGGAACAGATATTAACTAAAGGTCTTGTTCCACTTTCTAGTAGTATATGACATAATAGGAAAAGGAGAGGAAGGGATGGGGAATACCTGAAAAAGGGCAACTTAGCAAGTGCTCTTGTTTAAGTGGCCTGTTTTCCTTTCCTCTCAGCTGCTTGTTCTCATGTGCACATCTATATTTATTTTATTTTTTCTATTCTATACTTGAAAGACTTATTTTTAAATGGAGATTAGAAAACTTTCAACAATGAGTCTTTTCCTTGCCAGTTATAATGTTCTTTGTGTAAAATGTCTGCAGTAATAATAAAACAATAATTTATTAAACTTGTATGTCACCTCACTTTCGATTGGGGCAACTTAAAATAATAATCAAACAAAATTATTAAATCTTGTTAAGATACCCTAATAACGTGACCTCAGTGATTTGTTTGTTTGCCCCATCTTTCACCAGATTCTTTTGCAATTTGTGTCATTTGCATACCTACAAAACTGTCGTACAAAACATCACTTTTTGCAGTAACACCTTAATTTTTGTTGTTGTTGTTAAAATAGTTTATAAAACTGTCCATCTTATGACAGTGACTCTCTATGCAAAGATTAAAAACAACAGCAACAGCTGATAATCCATGATGCTCAAGGTAAACCAATACATTCCAATTGTGAAACCACATCAGAAACAGTTTGCTTAACCTCCTGGCTCATTCCTTCAACAATCATTTGAAAAATGGCTCTGAAAAAAATNCACAAGTTTCTTCCCTGAGCAGTTGCTGTTCATTTTAAACCCATTACAGCCTCATCATGTACACCAGATATTATTAACAATTGTTATGAGCTACTATCTGAGGCATTGTATGATTACAGTAGACTAAGGCCTGCTTTGAATGAAATTTAACAAATTAGCTGGGTGTTTTACTAAGCCAGCTTTCTTACATGCAAAAAGAATACGAAAGTTAAGGTCTCATTTAGTCAATCATTTTAGGTGATAAATATGCTATGGTTTTGGATTTTTGGTCCATTTTGACATGATCATAACTTAGTCTCCAAAATGTTCTTGAACATACTAAAATATGAAAGACCATACAGGCATCCCCTAATTTTTAAAGATACCATACATAACACTGAAAATTTGTGGGATACCAAAAAGCCTGGACAAATCCATTTATTGTGCAATAAGGGATTGGCATCTGCTTGGATTGGCTAGAATTGGACTAACCAAGGGATCAGCCTTTATTGATTCTGTAATTTTGCAGGAGGAGTTAGGGTTAGCATACATAATCAAAACAAAGTTCTAAGAGCCAACATGGAAGCCTAAATATTAGGATAGGAAATTCCACTCGGTTTATAGAGTTATTGTTATTATTGTTATATTCACAAAAATATGAAATCACAGCAGCCAGTTCTTTAGCTGGTGTTGGTCTTCATATACTATGTCAGCATAGTGTATGTGCAGATCCAAATAGTGTTGCCCTTTGTAAATGGCAGATGGCAATTTTGTCAATGTGCAGGTTTATAAGTGCTGTCCAAAATATTTTTATATTGCAACCCAATGTGCCGATATCCACTGGAATCACCCTGCCAGTTTATGCCATCACCTTTTGTTATGTCCGGAGAATAATGGCGCTTGAGACGAAGCATTTCTAACAAATCTTTATTCTCTGCTTCCAATCTACGAACAACCCGAGCAGAGGCACGCAGGCCTCTATTTATACCTTCTGATCCCCGGGCAAATCCAACCAATCATAAGGCGGTCTTTTCCCGCCTTGCGCATGTGCGCAAGGCCGGCGCCACTCAGTCTGGTCCCGGGCAGCTTTTGCAATTGCCTGGGACTCTTGCAACGTCCCGAGCCTGCTTTTGCAGGCTCAGGACACAACACCTTTCAACTTCAGTTTGTTTTTGTGATCTTCCCCAGTTCTTTGGTATCCTTTGATATTGCCGCATGCATTATCCACACTTTCTTTTTTTAGGCTACAGTTAAATCTGGTGTGTTGTGAACCAAAGCTATATCAGTTTCTATTCAGATCCAACATATTTTAACTTGGGCATGTCTGGCTGTTTTTTCAACTATATGTTCTCACCAATTTTTCATTACTGGCCCATTGGTCACACAGTCACCCAGATGTTTAGACTGTATTTGGCATTTTATCCACCTATTGAGTCCTTCCCAAGGACCTGGGATAGGCAGATGGCTGTTGTTTGACGATGTTAAATGTATAGCAAAATATAAGTGTTACAAGTAAAACTAGCTTTTGCAATTGACTGATGGTTATTTTGTTTATGCCTATGTTGTTCAAATGGTGCTGCAGTTGTTTTGAGATTACACCCAAGGCATCTATTTCTATTGGTACTATCTTTTGCTTTCTTTTGCTACATTATTATTATGGTTGATTGCACAGTCAGCCAGATGTTTGTATTATTATTACAGAAGAGTGTTTCTAAAATCAATGAAACCATTCCGATATTATTTTAGATACAAGAACAAATTCACCTCCAATCTCTTAGAATACATTGAAAATTCAGTTAAGTTTAACTCAATGCAGTGAAATGAATAAGTTGCAATATCTATATTTAATCCCCATTAAACCAGGCAAATTACTGAGTGAGCCTAACCATCTTTAGAACATTTTAGGCCATTAGGAAATGGATTAAAAATAACACTACCAAAATTTTAATTCAAGCCTTTATACAAATCTGCGGTTCATAGGCAACTGAAATATTGTAAATGGGTAACTATATCATATTTGAATGCGGGTATAACAGATGTAAATGAAAGTTCAGAAAAGTGTAACCAGAATGATCAGTGGATTCAGAAACCTGCCTTACAAATAAGAAGCTTTGGGACTATAATTTAAAAAAAAGTAACAGGAGGGCTAATTGATGTATATAAAATCAAGCTTGGAATGGAGAAAATGGATAGGGATTTATCCCCCTTCTTTCTAGAGCATGGTTCATCTAAAGAAAATTACTGGAAGATTACAGGAAAGGATATTTAAAAGAGACAGCATATAGTTAACAGATCATTCAATTAATTAATTATATTTATATGCTTTCCAGCTTCCAGCAACTCCCAGTATAATGATAGTGATGACTTCTATGACTGAATCAATTAATGGGACACAGATCTATAAAGAGTTATTAATCTTGAAACTATTAGGGGCAGTTTACCTTCGATTACTAGTTGTAGGGGAAGAATGGCTGGAGAATCTATACCTTGCTTGAAGGCATCCTTAGGGTTATCTGTTTATCTAATTTGAGAAACAAATATGGGCCTTGATCTATCTCACAAGTCTGTTCTTATGTACTTTGTTATAACTTAGTGGTAACAAAAATTATTTGTAGGTAGGAGTGTCTATAGAGGGAAGTGTCAATAGCATCAAGAAATCAGGTGGAAGTGAGCAATTGAAGCCCCACTCCTTTTTAATGTGTGTCATGTACAAGTAAAAAGTATCATACAATATAATTTTGATACTGTTGAAATACCTGAATATCCTTCTGTTTGTCTGCATAAGAAATACATATAAGGGCAGCTGTTCATCAAGATAAACCATCACTGGTTCTATTTAATTTCCTTTATGATCAGCCCTACCACTCTAGACATTCATTGCCCAATGTCCAATGACCTTTTCTGAACAAGATTTTAGAAGGGACCATGCAATCTTTTCTGTTACAGTCCCTACCCTATGGAGTCCCTCCTCCCTATCCTATTTGACTTCTTAACAAGTACAAAAGGAGCTTCACAAGAATTAACAGATTATAGGGTGTCAGAAAATCTTCATCTAATAATAAGATAAAGTTTCACTCCTGTTCTTATTGTCTAGTGGTATTCATAACAGGTTTTTTTTCACAGTGCTTACACAGAGCCTTACAAGGTGTGCCCCATCTCCGTAATTCCTATTGAAGATGTCACATCTGACGAGGAACAGAAAAGTTCAGAAGATGAAGACAGCAATCAAGGAGATTCCAATATCATCCAGAAGGTAAAATACATTTTTCTTTCGGAACACATTTTGTGACAATAAAGTACTAGGAAATTGTTAGGATATTTACTAGATTTTTCTTGTGGGGTAACTCAACCTATTATCTAGTGTGCCATGCTTCTCAGTTGCTGCTGGGTACAGGAGTGATTTTAGTACAAGAATGCAATCAGAAACATGACATTTTAGAACAGAGAACAGAGAATCATAGTGCTGGAAGGGGCCTTCTAGTCCAACTCAAGGCAGGAGACCTTCCATCCAAGGCATGGAGATCTCAGTTCAGTCAAAGTAATTCAATCTGTGAAAGTGCTGATAGAAACTGGCAAAATGAGTTGCTATTGTCCCTATAAAATGGAACAGATATTAACTAAAGGTCTTGTTCCACTTTCTAGTAGTATATGACATAATAGGAAAAGGAGAGGAAGGGAGGGGGAATACCTGAAAAAGGGCAACTTAGCAAGTGCTCTTGTTTAAGTTGCCTGTTTTCCTTTCCTCTCAGCTGCTTGTTCTCATGTGCACATCTATATTTATTTTATTTTTTCTATTCTATACTTGAAAGACTTATTTTTTAAATGGAGATTAGAAAACTTTCAACAATGAGTCTTTTCCTTGCCAGTCATAATGTTCTCTGTGTAAAATGTCTGCAGTAATAATAAAACAATAATTTATTAAACTTGTATGTCACCTCACTTTCGATTAGGGCAACTTAAAATAATAATCAAACAAAATTATTAAATCTTGTTAAGATACCCTAATAACGTGACCTCAGTGATTTGTTTGTTTGCCCCATCTTTCACCAGATTCTTTTGCAATTTGTGTCATTTGCATATCTACAAAACTGTCATACAAAACATCACTTTTTGCAGTAACACCTTAATTTTTGTTGTAGTTAAAATAGTTTATAAAACTGTCCATCTTATGACAGTGACTCTCTATGCAAAGATTAAAAACAACAGCAACAGCTGATAATCCATGATGCTCAAGGTAAACCAATACATTCCAATTGTGAAACCACATCAGAAACAGTTTGCTTAACCTCCTGGCTCATTCCTTCAACAATCATTTGAAAAATGGCTCTGAAAAAAATAACCTTATGACCAGTGGTGGGATTCAAATATGTGAATAAATATCCACATCCTCTGTGTGGATGCCACTTCTGGAAGTCCATTCTGGGCCTGGGCAACAAAAAAGTAGCTACCGGTTCTGCCGAAGTGGTGCGAACCAGCTGAATCCCACCACTGCTTATGACCATTAAACCATTATGACCTTTGCAGTGTTCCTCAGTCACATAATCACCATTACAGTCAATATATGTTGCCCTATGCCTGACCTTTGCCCCAGAAATTTCATGAGAGTAAGCTGTTTGCTTTTCTTTACATCAAAAGCAAACCGATCCTACCACCAGCCCAGGTTTGGGAGCTATAGGTGTGCTACGCAAACAGCTTACAGTACTCTCTTGAAACCTTTCTCTCCAATCTCTCTTCTCTGCAAGGGAGAAAACAAGCAATTTCTGTAGGCAGTCTCAAGTTTGGCTGACCCTTCCCCATGAGAGTCTACTGTACTTAGGAGAATACGGTAAACACTACTTAAGAGACTACTGTAAACTGTTTGTGTAGTTTGTCTGCAGCTCCCAGGCTCCCATCTGCAACACAATTGCATTGCTTTCAATGTGTACAAGACAGAAAACAACCCTCAAGATTTCAAAGGGTGGGGGAGTTGTTAGGAGCCAAACAAAATCAGAGTGAGACTGAGTAATCTTGTCTCTTTCCAGGTGAAAAGCACAGTAGCAATCATATGATTTCCCACTTAATGACAGCTTTGCTTAGTGGTGGAGTTGCCAGTCCCAATTAGGGTTGTTAGACATGGACTGCATCTAGTTCCAGGCTAAAGACTGTAGTTGTTGAGAAATTCCTACTGTTGTACCATTCTTCTTATAGTGTAGTACATAGTACAACTTTGTTTCAGCAGAGGAAGAAATATATATTATTGACATATAATCCAATTTGTATTCTCCTGATCTAAGTTGAATTTTAGGTGCTACAGACTGGAAAATTTAATCTAAACTCTCAGAATTACTCAATATTTGCAATATTTGCAATATTTACACAATAATTATTTAATATTGGCAATATTGGCAATATTGAGTTTAGACAATATTTGCAATCTTTTATAATCCCTAATATTAAGGCCAAAAAGGGAATTTTAAGTTAGATGCTCATGATTCAGTAATGTTAAGAAACGTCTGGTCCTTTTTATACATGTATGTTGTACAGTGATGATACATATCAAAAAGAGATTCAAAAGGTAGGTGAATTTCAAAGCCAAAAGGTCTTTGTCAAATTATTTAGATTACAATGTTCTCAAAAGTAAAAGAAATATCTTCAAATATTATTAAGATTATAATATATGCATGGAAATATTTTTTTAAAAGCTGGACACTTTCCAGCTTGGCATAAACAGTATTGTCCAATAAGTGATAGAAATTAAGTTAATGTTTAATTTTTTTTAAAAAAAAAATAAATCTTGTTGTCTCTTGACCTCAGTAGTAAAATTTGACAGCTTTCCGCTGACACTTTTCCACTGATCACTTACATTTCTTCTGAGTTTCTGTAATGAACTGGAATTAAATGTCAGTCCTGATATTACTGAAATCATTTAACGACTCTGTAGCACTTGCCAAAACTGGTCTATATTTATTTTTATATTTATTTTAAAACATTCATAGAAAAGAAATTCTAGTTTTTGTGGGAACTGTACACTGTTTATTTAAAAAGCAGTGTTTGACTGATGAAACACAAGTCAACTCTATCATTTTCTTGTAGAGAAATCCTTACAATTAGATATAGTCATTGTAAGCAAATTTTGGTGTCCTATTATTAAGAATTGGAAGACATAGTAGATTTAACTGCTGAAAATAGTACCAAGAATTGGAAATGAGCTAATCTGAAAATAGTCTTGGACTAAACTAGTAACAAGTGTAACTTGTTGATTTTCTGGTTTAATTGTTGGGCTTGTTCATATACTGTACATCTTTTATCTATTAGATAAAAGTCAGCCTGAATACAGGAATGAAAGCAGCAACTAGTGGAAATATTTTCAATTTCATCAGAAATGTGGTTTTTAAAAAGCAGCATTGAGTACCAGTACCAGTCCTCGCAGTTTTCTTAGCAAGATTTTGTAAATGGTTTGCCATTGGCTTCTTCCTAGGGCTGAGAGAGGGTGACTGGCCCCAAGTAATCCAACTGAACGGGACCTAGGTGGGACTAAAATTCACAATCTTCCAGTTTTTAATCTGATGCTTAAATCACTTCACCATACTGGCTAATTTACACTGTGAACAAGAAATAACTCTTTGCTGAAAAATGTTTGGTTTTCATTATGCTGAATATTATGCTAGGTTTTCATTATGAGGAAATTCTGTCCCAACAGAAATACAATCTTACAAATCTTGAATAAGTATCAGATTGCTGGATTGTTCCTCAAGTATTTAAAGAGATCTTATGAGTTCCTTAGATAGTGATATGACAAGCATGGCTTCTTTTTCTCCTATCAATCCTCCTCCCAAACCTAATCATCCTTAGCCAAATAATTACATTTCATATCTATCTTGTGAGTTTTTGTTTCATGAAAATCTTAGCAGGATTATGGAACCTGTGCAGGTACATTTGTTGCTCTGGGACATACATTAATAAGAGCAGCATAGCATCTGTGGTATTTACAACCCAATCAAATGTCAGACACCGGTAGATAGTGTTATTCTGAAAAGTCATATTAGCATTAAATGAACCATTTCTTACTAAGAATGCTGCTGTTAAGTTCATTTTAAAAAATGGGTACCTCCATCCCAAGCTATTAAGGAACACAAATTGATTTCTGTAAGTAAAACAGTTTGCAGCAGAGTCCAATTAATACAGTTCCTCTGCCAATTGAATGTACTATTACCAATTTTAGTGTCTTCTCTACTTCTGCTACTGTTCAGGTTCCTTAAAACCAAAATCTGACTATTATATGCACTGAGCCATGGTGGTGCAGTGATTAGAATGCAGCACTGTGGGCTATTTTTAACTAGTAGAGCCATGGTGGCACAGTGATTAGAATGCAATATTGCAGGCTAACTCTGCCAACTGCCAGCAGTTCGAGTCTCACCAGCTCAAGGTTGACTCAACCTTCCATCCTTCCGAGGTTGGTAAAATGAGGACCCAGATTGTTGGGGGCAATATGCTGACTCTGTAAACTGCTTAGAGAGGGCTGTGAAGCACTGTGAAGCGGTAGATAAGTCTAAGTGCTACTGCTATTTCTGCATCTGGAAAGGAGCACACATTTAAAAGTGAAGCTTATCTTTCACAGCAGGAATTGTTGTATAAAGATACAATGAAAAATAGTTATTTTAAAAAAGAAAATATGAACTTCTTGCCTGCAAATCCCTTCCTTCTGTCTTAGATCAAGGACAGCCCAGGGGTCACTATGACCGAAGAGCTTTAACTACACTTACCCAAAAGAGTTATAACACTGCTGCTTGGAAACACACACTATTTGGAAGCACAGAGAAACAGCATTTATTACAAAAGTCATATAAAAGTAATCGGAAGGAGAATATGTCAGAATATAAATGGAAGGCAAAGTCTCAAAACTCGTTGGCCTAATGTGAGTTACTTCAAAGTTTAACTTATTGCAATATTCTCCAGTCAAAGAAAGAAGTACTCCCACACTGTACTGTTATTTAACTGGCAGCTTCCTGGAGATGATGATGATGATGATGATACGACAATATTAGAAAAATCATTTATCTTCAGGGTGTTTCCCTCACCAGAAGTCACATTGATTTCTCCTTTTTCATTTTATTTTATTTATAATTCAGAAGTTAACAATGCATTAAAAATAGTGGCATATGGCATTGGGTTAGAGAACTCCCAGCTAAGTATTTTTAAATTTCTATGATGCTCCTCAGAGAGTGAGGTGCCCTTCACTTAGCTAAAATTTCACCTCTAGTTTACCTTGCTTGA